AAATACTAAATTATTAATGGATGTAGTAAATTTGCCGTTTGTTAAACTGAGGGATTTATGTAAGTAGTTGTGTTTGAAAGCGCCTGAGATTAAATAAATCCGTTTGACTATTTTTGTCTTATTAATTACTTTTCAGAATTACAAAGAACACGATCGAGCTAACATGCCAAAAATAAACAGGAAGGTCTTAATCTCAATTTTCCTGTAAAATTAAAATAATATTGAGGATTCGTTGTATCCATTAGAAAAGGTAGCTTAATAATGCTATGTTACGTGTGCGAGAATGATAACACAAAGAGCGAGAAGGTAAAGCTTTTTAGAAAAACACATCAAATAATCCTTAGATTATTCTCGTTTACACATCAGAGCGTTTTGATCACGGATGAATTGTTACCTAACAGGCAAATTGTTAAATTACAGTAGTGTTAAAGCAACAATCAGGGGGTTTGAAACTTATGAGGTCATTGCTAAGGCATTAGAAAAGGGCCCTAAATGAATTCAGTAGTGTGTCAGGCTATTAATTTGTAAAGGGGATAGACATGCCGTAATTTTGTTTCATTTCGATAAATGTTTATTAGGCTTGTCCAATTTATGGATAAACCTGGGAGTTTGTTAATGCGTTTAGGCCATTTGATGATATATTATGAACGTGAATTGTACAGTGAGACTCACAGTTTAGGACATATTGGAAACTAATACTACGAAATTACTATTAATCCGATAATTGGTTTTAACAAACGAATTTATTAGTATATTAAATACTTCTGATACGAAATTTCACCTTTGTCAATATTTAATTAGCATCCCGACTCAGGATTTCTGGTAGTCTTTTATTTACCCAGTTCAAGTTTGATTTTTCGTTGTAAACCGAATTATTATTGAATTAATAGTGGTAACATTAGCAATATTTCTGATAACTTTATTTTCGATTTTGTAAGATTGTAAATAATAATCTATTTCACTTCATTATTTCTCTCTCTTTTTCTCTGTTTCTCTCATAGTTTATTTTTGAAATTCTGATGCAACATTGACATTGTTACGTTATTGTTCATATTTTTTAGCATTGGAAGGGTTCGCAAAAAATCGCAATAGGGTCATTTTATAAAATCTGCTTTATAATTTTTTGTGGAGAGATAAATAAAGGTACGAACTTTGAGGTGGTATAAATAAAATTGAGTCTTAATCTACAGAGACTTCATATTTTTGAAATGGTCAGAACACTCGTGTTTTCTTATTACATCTTATTTTGTTTTTTATTCCTACTTTTTTAAGTATTTTCTATATTTAAAGTTACTTAGACATATACATACTAAAAGAAAGAGAAGTAAAATAAGATGCAGTAATAAAATACAGGTGTTCTATTTGAAAAGCTAACATTTGAGATTTTTTTTGTGTAAATTCTCTCTATAGTAAAATTTGATTTATTTGCTACCACAATAAGCTCTGCTTATCTCTCAATAATATATTGGGACACAGATTTTAAAAAGATCATGATTGCATTTTTTTGCAAAAATTTTTAATAAAATGAGAATAACGTGGCAGCAAAGCATCGACCTTTTAAAAGTAAACTGTGTTGTGTGCTATGTCTAAAAAAACACTCTATGTAGTCAAGAACAATTTCAATGTATACTATTGAAAGGACGATGTTCAACAACGACCAAAATTGTACGGTTCTTTGAAGCCTATATTTTAAAATTATTTTTACTATACGGAGTGTTCTGTTTTTACGGCGTAATATTACTTGTTTTTTTTTAATGAACAATGTTGCCAAGTTACTCCAATTTTCTTGAAATTTTTTGGTAATGGTTGAGTTCACCGCAATAAGTTTATTTTAAAAATCTGTTACAATATTTTGTCGAGGGATAAATAAAGGTACGACCTTAGTTGTGATATTAATTATACAAAATTTTAATATACAGGGTGTTTATAAAAAGATTTTAAAACTTTTTTCAAACATGGATATTGCAGTTTTTAGTAGCATTTGAAGTCTTCACCTCGGAAGTTAAGATCACCAAATCAAATTTTCAAATAAAAGACGTGTTTTAATATTGTATCTTTCTTTATTTTTTGTTTTCATTTATCCAATATGTCGATGGGTCTATTGAAAAAGTAAAAAATCGCAGTAACTATTAATTTTAAATATAGAAAGTACTTAACAAAAAGAAAAAGAACAAAAAATAGAGTAAGATACAGTAATAAAATACAGGGTTCTATTTGAAAAAACTGAAATTTTGATCTTTTCAAATTGTAATAATTATTTTTTTATAAACAGTCTGTACATGAAGGTTTAATTTCATTTATATCACAACAAATAACGTAACTTTATTTATCCCCCCTACAAAATATCTATTGTAACGCAGATTTTAAAAATTATCATTGTGATTTTTTGTGAATTCTTTATTAATAAAAATTGCAAGGAAATTCAAATAACTTTGCAGTGGAATTTCAAAAATAAATTATGCCCATAGACCCTAAAAAGAAGTCAAAAAAAATATATAAAAATAAATAGGGTGTTTAATTTGAGAAAAACTAAGTTGTGTGCCACCTTAAAAACAGAAAAGTCTGTATAGTTGAAAATCATTTTAGAGTATTATCCTCAAAGTACCGTATAACTTTGGTGTTCGATCTTTTTACTTCCCGAGCGTAATCGAGTCCGTCGGCCGACTCTCTACTTATACGTTTTGTGGACCTTTCATGATACCTACAGTACGAAGAAATAGGTCCCCCGTTTCCGTCTGTCTGCCTGTCCGTCCGTCTGTCCGTCTGTCTGCCGTCCCGGATTTTTATTAGTTAGTTAATCCCCGAAAGTTCTGGGACGATTGTGATGACGTCACTTCAAAATTGTACATAGTAAATGGGTTTTACATTGTATAATAAATAACATCGTCCTACATATGTAGTTTATGACTCCGTATTGAGTTTTTATCCGAATTGTCCATATTTTTGAAAAAAAAATCAATATGATAAAACATTTTGTAATTTAATTTTGAATCTGCAAAACAGTATGCTTTGAAATCTTGCAGATGTTTTAAAGTTATGATAAGCATGATAAATTTTTAATCAAGACATATTGACTTATCCAAAAAATTGATGACGTCAGCTCAAAATTTTGCCGGATAAATCATGTCTAAATTGTACAAAAAATGATGAGTCTGTACTTGTAACTTATCATTCCATTCATATTTTTTGAATTTGCACATACAGGGTGACTAAAAAAAAATAATGGATGCGTGAATTTATTTTATTGATATCAGAAACTACAAAATCGAATGTTTTGAAATCTTGCAGACGTTTTGAAGTTATTGTAAGCATGATAACTTTTTAATGAAATATTTCTGTTTATCAACCCCAAAAAATTGATTACGACATCTCAAAATTTTGCCGAATAAATCCTTTCGAAAATGTGCAAAAAATGATCAGACCATACTTGTACTTTACCACTGCATTCATATTTTTTAGATTTGCTTATGCAGGGTCACTCAAAAAAAAAAGAATCAGTTAATTTATTATTGATCAAATTAAGACGAGCTACCCCATTTTTTTGAAAATGTGAGAATACGCTTGTCTTTACAACAATAAAATAATGATATGGTAAAAAATTATATTAATAACATTTGTTCAAGTGAGGCTTATGTATTAATTTAGTCATCTGTTTTGATGCGATAAATTTATTTAAATCAAACAAATGTCTACGTGACATTCTTCCGATATATAAACATCAACATTTTAAACGTTACACATATTGCTCAAATACCACTATTCCCGTTGATAATGTGTATTTTACAATGTCCGTACTTGTGCAGAGACGGTTTTAAAACAATATTACCAACTTATTATTTCTCACTTGTATGATTATTTTTTAAGTAGGTAGAATTTCTTGTTATTTTTAGTGTATTGATTATGTAACAAATAAGAAGAAACTTGTGTGACACTAATTCTCATTCAGTGCAGCAAAAACTCAATGTGGGCTGGAATTCTAGGTTTCTAGGTGGCCATATTATTTATAGCGCCACTATTCATGGAGGAAAATTGTCTAAATGTGCTGAAAAACCAGATTTATGGGCGTATTACTGAAGTCCTTCAGCAATACCTAGATTTGTTGGAGAATGAAGCGATATTTCAACAAGATGGGGCACCTCCACATTATGCAGCTTTTGAGCGCCAGTTTTCAGATAATTCATTTCCTGGGGACCTGTAGAATGGCCTGCCGGATCACCAGATCTAACGCTAGTTGATTTGTTTTAAAGGCACCTTAAGTCACCGATTTAAATGAGAAAACTTGAGTTTTTGGGAAAATTAAGAAAAACAAACATGTATTTGGGAGTGTCTGCAAATAGATTGTACTATTATATGCAAGTTAATGGAGCTCAGTAATTAGTAGCATTAATTTATTATAATGAGCTTAGAATGTTTGTTGATTAGTGACAAATTAATTAAGTTATAGCTTATGTAGTTAGTTATAGTAGTGTCGTATTCATGTTTGATGAAGCAAAATTTAAACATATGTCTGCATCGAGTTTTTAAACCAATAGGAGACAAGTAACTAGTTTATTCTCTCACACAAATATAAAAGGTATAATTTATTAATATGTCGTTTGGTTTAGTTGATTGATAGCCTTAGTTGACAGGTGAAAAGTTCGTATTTTTCGTGGTGTGTATAAAAATCATTGTTTTGTTTCAGATTGTAAAAGCCCGTTTAACAATAAAAAAATTCACTTACTTTTCGTGACATTCGGGTTTAAATTAAAAATGGCATTGTGTATCCACCTTGATTTCGTAACCGTGGCTTTATTCTGTTTTATTAAAAAGTCGTGCATAAAACATGAACATCTTAAATTATTTGTTCTGGGAACAATCTACCAAAATCAGATTATATTAAAGACTCAGATTGTGGTTTTTGAAAAAAAAAAAAAAGAAAATCCCGTGTGCACAGTGCAGAAATGATTGTGCACAGTGCAGAAATGATTGTGCGCCGTCTTTTGGATTTTGCGTCGACTTACCGTGTTAGCGATGGTGTAAAGCATTTCGACGTACAGCTTGTCTTTCTCATTTTGCGGAGCCGTGTAGTCAATCGGTACAATGCCTAAATCTCCTTCTTGAGGCGGAGGATCCGAAGCGGAGACTTCGGCCGCTTTCAGCACAGTTTGTCGTTGATTTTCTTGTTTCCATGCTAGCGCTGTGAAGCTTTCGAAATAAGACCCGTCAATTTCTTGAACTCTGGAAAACGTGACGGTCATATTAATCGGCCGTAAATTATCCCCAGTGGCTTTAAAATATGTTACTGTTTTTTACTTTATTTCCCGCACAAGTTCGGAATACAGAATGTGAACACTGTAATGGGATTATTATCGCGGCATATTTTCGGGCGATAATTAGTTTTAAAGAACTGCCTGCCGAGGTTTCATAAATGGACACGTCTCTTCGTTAATCCACTTTAAAACGCTGTGATTGTAAATTTTCGAGTCATACTAAAACCGTCATCTTCAGTTGTGAAGAGTCTTAATCAGGGCGAAGCGAAATCTGTTTTGAAGTGAATTGCATCACCACAAAATGAAAGTGGTGTGTCTATGTTTTATTCAATAACACCCGGGTGCTTTGACGGAGGTTTTCCAAATTTGATATAAGACCGCAGCTATAGGCAGTGAACACCCATGATTTACTTTGAGTTAAACTGGTGAAAGGGTAATTTCAAGGGCACTCTAAAACTTTCAAATTGGTTTATAACAAAATACGATTATCTGTTAGAGAAGAATTTCGGCCTAGCGTAACACTATTCAGGGGTTTGTTCGCATTATTAAATTAAACTAATTTATTGTTTATTTAAGTATTTACTATCGTGAAGCTTTAAAAATATTGAAAATCGTACTTTTGTAGATCACCAACACTGAAACATTCTAAAACGTTGGATTGTCAAGTCTGCGAAGTGTGTTATATTTTAGCTCGTTTCTGCTTCAACAAGTTATTGAATTTGCCTTGACGCTCGATAATTCAGATATCGCAAAACATGCAACCAATTTCCGGAGAAATTACACTGTACGTACTATTTGTACACTTGTTGCATTGTAACGTATTCATTCATTATTTTTTTATGTACGATAAATAGAGCACTGATAAGTGACGTATAAAATTCACGAGATAAATACGGCCATGAAAATGGTTTATAGGACAAATTATTATAAGCTCTTTTTGGTGTTCTTTTTTTATGATGATGCCATATCAAACGTGTATCATGCAGAATTTTAGCTACAATGGTCTTAGTTTGTGTTAAAATAAAAACACGTGGACATTTTAATCTGAAACGCAAAGGTGTATTTGCTGTTTTTGCGGTAACCGTGTTTGTTTAGTTTAAACAACGTTACAAAACGTTTACTTTTTGCTAAAAAACTATTTATGCAGAAACCTATTCGAATATTGAAGAATGGAAAAATTAAAACTTTTAATATTTCAAGCAGAAAGTTCTCTTTGAATATTTCATTTTTTATTCACTCAGGCTTATTTCATGTGGAGTTACTGCTCAGTAGACTGGCATTTCTGAAACGAGCGTCAGAGAAATTGTGTCCAGAAAGCTTCTACATTAAAAAAAGTGGAAATAACGAACAAAGCAATATAATGTTAGAGCTTTATCTTTATATTTTAGCATAATATCCACATTTTGATGCAAGATGAAGGTATTAAAGGAACAAACATGGTGTAAATAATGCGAAGCTATCCAGACACTGCACCAAAATACTCAAGCCATCAGTCGATATTAACACGTTTGAAAAAGAGCAAGTATTACTGCTTCTTTGCTGAATTTTCCAAACTTTGAAAAATACATAGGGCATTGTTTTCAGACGACCGCCGGCGTCATTACTTAACGAATGTCACATCGAGACTTCACAAGAAAATAAGAAAAATTTGCTACAACAATATTGAATAAAGCTTCAAGTCTATGTTTCTTATTTGAAAACACATTTAAAAGAATACACATATGACAGAGGAAACAGCAGAGAAATAGAAGAGAGTTAGAAGACTATAGAGGGATTACACTGTCGAATTCAACGCTTAAACTATTTAGGTCTATCTTGAACAAGAATTTTAACAAGAACATTAAAATTGCCGAAGAATAGCAAGGAATTAAAATCCACAGTTACACTACATTGTACCTAATAGTTTTATGTTTTTTCAATATATGAAAGCTTTCGAGTATCAAAAAATTGATCTAAGCTTGTTTAGACAGAACTTCCTTGGTATCTGAAGTCAAACATTCAAACAAATTCATTGTCTTAGAAAAAAAAATGTTCAGTTCAGATCCAAAGCTTTAACCACTAGGCCACAACGTGTTTGTTGCAGGCATAAACCAGATATCGGCCGTAATTGTGATAAAAATTAAGGTGGATTAATAAACCACAAGCACAGGAGCATGTTGTTTTATAAAATTGAAATACTATTTAGGATGTAAATTTTTGAGGGGAAGTCATCAAATTGTTGTTGGAGGTAATTAGACAAATTTGAGTTGGCGTTTTATTACCATCTGCCTGATATTGCTAACTTACGTATAACATTTGAGAACAATCAGTTCGGTAGTTTCGGACACTACTTGTCTAATGAAAATTGACACTGACGACAGACAGACAAACAATAGACGCCAGATACACGGAATCGGGAGACCTATTTTTCATTCTCTAGGGGTCATAAATGTAGCCATTGGAATTCGAATGCATTCGCTGATATATCCTATTCTTAATACTTTCTTAGCTTACCCTCACGAAGAAAAAAATTAAAAATGCTGTAACTACTGGAAAGGGAAAGAATGCGATGATATAATTCGTATAATGGGCGACCTAAATAGTAATAATAAAATCAGTATAGCAACATCAACATGTAATGCAAATTCTGTAGTTATTAATTCTGAAATTCGGGCAGGGAAAAACATTTGGAACCAAGAAGTAGACCAAGAAGTAAATAAAGCGGCTGGCTGGCGGGCTTCTTATGGTACACATATGGAGAACTGTATATCTAAATATTGACTTAAAATTAATAATATAATGGAAGACAACTGCAAGACCAATATTGACGTACAACGGGGAAACAAGAACCGATTTACAAAGAACGAAACAAAAAAGAAGAATATTGGAAACGAACATAAAAAACGTTGACGAGAGTTACATTGACAAACACACCAGAGAAGTAAGATCAACGATGTTGCAAAGGTTATGAACAATGCGCGGAATTGTATCTCATACGCTAGATCCAGTGCTGTCACGGCGAGACTTTGATTACAAATATACTTTTCTTTTGGACTATATCAACATAATATAACATTTCAAGATCACCAATCTGTGGTCCTGTGGGTGAAAAAATTAAAAAGGGCATCGAGTATTATTATTTGAAATAATATAGTAATATAGAAGTAGTTTTTTAACAAGCTGTAAACACTTCTAGCGACGCACTGGCTACGACCTTGTGGACCAGATCAAAGCGTTCCCGCTACTCGCCGTAAAACACACCTTACTTCAACTGGGGAATTGCACCGGTGAGATAGAATCCCGCGTAGTGGTTATGAAGCAAAGAAAGAAGCAGTGGAACTAGCATATAGGTATAAATGCATTAGTTGCATCCTTAGTTATTGATGGCTTTTTAAAAGTTTTGGTATTATTAACAGGTTGACTGTCAGAATAAAATTTGCGGAAGTGCCTCTGGTGCCAAGTTAAAATTAGTATGTATGTTTACTTCCAAAAAAATATTCTGAAGTTCATTTTCCTTCATTGTGCAATTGTGCATATTATGTAAAATTTTTGGAAAATTTACTAAGCGGTCGATACGTCCTCTCGGGCGTGGGCGGAATATGTTTTCCCGTGTTGCTTAAGCGTTCGCACCGGCACCGGCGGTCGTTTTTTAGCAGGTTGATTCTTACGGAAAACGCGTTTGGTATTCAACTGCATTCTGCATTTGATCGCTGTCGTTATTGTAGGCAGAAATGAATGCTTGTTCGAAAAAATTTGTTGAGGTACTGTGAAACCTTTGTGTTTAGATTGTTTCAACACCGTACATGACAAATAGACGTTCTTACTGCTGTTCTATACTAGAAGTTATATTCCGTTAAATGTTAACCTGCGCTTTGTTTTTCAAATTTATATTAAAAATTTATGATAATATAATCTGCCGTATTTTTTTTTTGCAAATCGGTACAGATTTTTAAAAATTCGATGCAGTGTGCAGAACTACCATGCCGCAGCGGTCGAATGTTAGGATAAAATCCATCTCAGTTGTAACCACCGACACAGGAGAAACGTAAATGTGAAGCACGGATTTGTCAGTCGTATACGACCTCCCGGCATATGGGGAAAAACAGTCAGCGGTCGTATACGACCACCCTGGCAGTAACCTGTTAAATTTAAAAGATAATCCAAATTACGTTTCAGATCTTACTATACTAGTATGAAATATTTAAATTTTTGACCGTCCACAATCTTTTGAAAAAGTTTTTACATTAGAAACCAATTTAAGAATTCATGTTGGTGAAGAACTTGAAATCGATCTTGTATGTGTATGTTTTGAAAAACTGAACTGTGGCTCTCGTTAAGATCCAAAGTTCCAACAAACTAAAAATTTTTTAACATCCAGAATTTTAAATAAGGATTCGAAATAGGAAACTACATACTATTGATTTGAACAGACCCATCCTAAGTTGTTCCAACATGAGGACGATGCTGGATGTTCTACTTTTGCACCTGGCAGATTTTTCGTAATTCCCAGTTATCCTTAATAAAATATTTATAAACTCCAAATTTCTCTGGAACAATTCGAGGTGAAGAGTCATTAAATAATAGATATACTGTTGCTTTAATTCTTCAGTCTTCCAACATAAAAGATGCTTCCAATCTATGGTACCCTGACAGGTATTAGCGAACTCCATTATTAGTTCCAAACGAATTTTTGCAACTGCAACGCATTTTTTCCAGCGGTGGCCCAGTGCTTGGATTCCCTTGGAAAAAAAATTCTTTGGTTGCTCGTCTAACCAGTCGTTCAACAAACATCACTTCGTCATCGTCACGATTTTTATTGTCACGAAAATATTTTAATTTTGAGAACAAACAGAAGTCATTAGGAGCCAGGTGAGGTGAATAAGTTGGGTGTTCCAACAACTCGAGTCCTGCGTCCTAAATAGCAGTCATTGGAGCATGACTTTTGTGAATCGTAGCCTTGTCCTGATGGAACAAAATTCTCTTACTCAA